GCCCCATACAAACCAAGGCCACTTCCCATTGATGAAGGTAAATGTCCAAGTCTGCCCTCCCACAGGCTCCACAGTAAGAATCCAGCTCTTACAAGAAAGCTCAGGTGAAACGTGCCGTTGATTCCACAAATGCTTGTGTTTCAGAAAACAACCACTCTCCCCTCTCACTACGTACCCTCTGCGGATATCATCCAGAAACTGGGCATTGGACGGATCCTGGTAGCTCCTCAGTTCTCCACTATCCAGACTGAATCCACTCTTCCAGAGCTTCAGCACAACGTGTACCTGCAGCAGCCCCCAAACAACAATCAGCCTCACTGAAACATCTCGGTAAGAACAAGAACCAGATGCAAAGTTCATGACTGGCAGAGGAATTTCAAGGTGCAGAAAACATTCCAGCCACGATCCTCTGGGTGGAGTGAAAAATTCCTAGAAGGTGGCGACAGAAACCAAGCTCCCACTGCTGCCTAGACATGTATTTGGTCACAAACCAAGCATGAGAGAATCTTGCATTGATGCTGTTAGCTCCACATCTCTTCAACAGGTAAAGAAGAGTTAATCACCCAGTGCTCTTTGCACACTATTTTTCACAATCTGACTTCTATGGAACCCTCAGATTCTTAATCAAAAGCTTCTCAGAAAACTGCTTACCCAAGACCCAAGCCATCTACTATTTTCTAATCAGAAACCCCATGAGGAGCAGGATTTACCATACTTCTGTCCTCTTGACTTTCTACCAAGCTTTATAACTCTGTGGGCTCGCAAGCTGTGTAGCTATAGCAGAGAGATCCCCCGGGTGACATCTACAAAACAGAGCAGAGAGATACTCACATCCTGAGCAGAGTTCTGTCTCCTCTCTCCTGCCACATAAGCTGACTCCTCCTCTGGAGTAGCCCCCAGGCGATACCCTCCCCCTGCAAAAGGCTGCAAGAGAGATGGGTGGAAAAGAGCTTTTAGAGAGACAAACCCAAGACAGCTCGATTCCCTTTCCCCAACACTGTTATAGACAAACAGGGGGCCTTCGTGGCATCAGCAACATCTATTGTCCTGCAGGCACAGTCACCAGCTTGAACAAATTAATAAATACGGCACAAGAAAGTGGCTTTTCTTGCCAATATGACACACAAATCGGAGCTGCACTGAGAAGAGTCCAGACTTAGCTGTACTTTTAAGACAATTCCAGGACTAAAGCAGCAAACAGCTGTCACGGTGGGAGCCTTAACTGAAACAGGGGCCAGAAGGAAGAAGAACTCATCACTGCTCACTTTAGGTCTGCTAGTCTCGCCACCGCTCTTGGCCGTCCGATCAACCGCCACCGCGCCGTGCTCCTTTGCTCCTTTGAACAGATCCTCCACCAGCTCATTGGGACTCTTCTTCCTCGGAGGACCAACGATCTGCTGCCCACTTCTCTCTGAGCCGCCGGCATAAAACCTAACAGAAAGCACACGGCTTCTGGGTAAGACCGGCCCCCTGCTTCACCAAGAGACACACGTGACAGGACCCAGCAGTTTTATATCAACATTCAGTTCATTTTTGTACAGCTTGGGTGTAGAAATACTAGCTCCTGCCCATGGATCTCCTCCTGGAGCCACTTACAAGTTCCTGCACTGCAGAGACTTTATGTCAGTCACTGCAAAATTATCCATTAATCAATAGCAATAAAATGATAGTAACTGTCTCAGGCCTAGGAAGAGAAACAGTCCAGACTGATAAGGCTTAGTTTCAGGTGCTAGTCCCAGCTGTATTATCAAGCTCAAGATCCAGCAAGTCTCTGACCTGTCAGATGGAAGAAGATGGGCAACACCTAACCAGTATTTTGATTCATCCTACACTGAAAGATCACCCCGTGCAGGATGGATCTGAACTGGAAGCAATGAATGCGCAGTCAGCGAAGTGCAATTAAACACTTCTGGAAGACTGGGTTTATTAGCTTCCAGATGGCTTGTAAAAACATACAGAGCAAGCTCACATGTGTTTGCAGAAGACCACGCAGTCTACCTAGACTGAGCCATCAGTTCCATTCAGTTTACCTTCCCTGTTCACCTTAAAGGTATTTAGCTACTCACAGCTGACTTGTAGATTACTTTCCCACTAGCACACCATGTTCCCACTGGAAAGGGGCCTACATTTTTCTTTCCACCTCCATGACATTACCTTTAAGCAGCATTTAAAAAAAAAAAAAATCAACCAACCCACAAACCACAAAACCCCCACTGAAAAAAAAAAACCCCAACCAAACCCAAAACCCTCAAGCAGAAAGAAACAATCCTTGCATTATTCCCACATTTCCGCTCTCTATGGAGACAAATGATGATCCAGGCTTTTTTTCTATTCCTAACCTATGGCTTCCACATCCCACCTTTGGCTTTCTCTCAGCAGCACAATTCAGTGATAAAAAGCGGTGTTTATACAGCCTTGCTGAACACGGGCTTGTGCACACACTTCACACTGACCAACCTCTCTGTGTCAAGCCTGAGGTTTTTCACTACAGGAATGTCATCTCGACTTAAACCTGCTTTATACAAAAAAAAAACCAACCCTATGCACAAGTGGCAAGCCATCCAAAAGGGCAGGGATAAACACCCAGGACTTAAGTCTTGAAGGGAAAACTTACCGCTGTCCCTCCTCCTCTTCATCGTCATCCTCCTGCGCGTGCACAAGGTCTCTGAACGATGTTACTCTGTGGTCACTGCAAGAGGCAATCAGAGAATTGCGTCAGCCTCCTGACGCGTTTCAACCACACAAGCAAAAGCTCCCAAACACAGCGGTTCAGCTGACCCTGTTCTACTTTAAGGGTCTGACTCATTACTCTATAAAACGACGGGTCAGCATTGGCGTAACCGAGCAGCAAATCCAGCTCTTGGACCTCTCTGCCAACTGCACCGACGGAGAACAAGAGCGGGAGGAGGCACAGACAGTGACTGCAGCCACAGAAAAAGTGAGGAGTCTTCAGCCACCTTCTTTGCTCACGGGCTGAAGGTGCCACTTCACAAGCACAGGTTTCTCTTCCAGACCCAGGACATCCCAGCCTCCACACCCTTCCCCTCTTCTTCCTTCTGCCGAGGCCGGTAGCTCTGATCCAAACTGAAACTGGGTTGTTCTGCAGAATGGACTTTATTCAACAAAGCCCGAACCAAGAGCACTTTTCCTTCAAAATGCAGTCAGTCATGCCTGAACCAAGAGCACTTTTCCTTCAAAATGCAGTCAGTAACTCCTCCTCTTCAAAAATGGATAGTATTTCCCTACCATACAAGGATTCAGTACGGCAAAATTAACCTGTTCTTGTAAAATACTCAACTTCATCATATCAGGTGTCATACAACATTAGAAAATTTTTTTCCCATGGAGATATAATCTGCTCAAATAAAAGCTCTACCAAACCGACTGCCTTCTAACCTTAAAAGACAAATCAAGTTGTTTTTTTTTCTGAGCAATGAGGCAAGTTGTCCTCACTGATCTTTGGATTAGTTGCACAATACCGGAGCCTACAATGTATAAACGCTGAGGTTTTCACAATTTCTAGAGAGCCATACGAGGTGAAGCAGATGTGAACGCAGAGCTATTTCTCCTGAAAACTAATATGCATCAAAATATACATTGATGCTTTAGGCAGAGCTTGCGTTTTTACGTAAGTAGTTTTCACTATCAGGTTTCCAAGCTGTCGATGAAAAGATCAGCCTGAGCTGAAGCTCCCTCCTCACCTGGCTGCGGTGCCTCTGGATATGGAGCTGGGTGTGGGCTGGGGAAGGGTCAGGATGTCCTCGTCACCCCCATCCTCGTAGAAGCTGGCAAGTGCAATCTGGAAAGGAACACAGCAGGAGCTTCTCAGGATGAGACCAAACATTCCAGAACAATGGAAAAAAAAAACCCACACAAATAACACAGCTGAAGCTTCCGTCACGTCAGACCTCTTGAGGCACATCAACACTAAGGACATTTCAGGTAATTTGGAGGTCCTAGCAAAGACAATGCTTTGCCACCTTCTGATGTTTGGTTTGTAGGACACTCACCACCAGAGAGATGCCAGAGCAGCTTCCCTGGTGGGAGGCCCTTATCCTGCAGCATTTCTACAGGGGTTACGTTAACATTACCGTTCTGAAACAGCTACTTTTGTGACATCCGGGAGTAGACCCGGAGTTAATTAAACACAGGCAGAGGGTTTGCAGGGATGGGAGCCGGGAGCGGGTCAGAGCAGCAGCCGATCCCCCCCCACTTCTTTTTGGGGGTGCAGGGGCCGCTGCTGGGAAAAGCAAGCATTCAAGGACAACCCACGCAAACCCGGCAAAACCCAGACCCCGCTCCCTCGCCGCGTGCCAACAATTAGCCACGTCCAAATTAACGAGGGGAACCGGACCGGACCAGGCCGGGCTCCGGTCCCGGCTGGCCCCCGCGGCACCCCCTCAGCCCGGCCGCCGGGCGAGGCCTGAACTTAAAGGAGACCGAGCTCCCGGCCCAGCGCTCCCTCCCCCGCCACCGCGAAGGCCTCCGGGGCCGCGGCCCCGGCCCTCCCCGGCGTCGGCCTCCAGGGCCGCGGCGCCGGCCTCGGCCTCGCCCCCGCCGCCAGGACCCCTCAGGGGGTCGAGCCGGTGCCGGGGAGGACGGAGGGGAGTGCGACGGCGACGGAGCTACCTGGAGGTCCCAACCGGCGGACTCCAAGAAGAAACGCGCTCGCTCCTCCTCGACGCCGGTCACGGCCACGAACTCCCTCAGCGCCTCCTCCCTGTCCGCCATCTTGCCGCGGTGCAGCGCCCAAACCCCGCCGGGCCCCGCGCAGGCCCCGCCCCGCGTCCCGCCCCGCCCCTGTGTGCTCCCGCCAAACCCCGCCGGCCGGAAACGGCCCAGAGCGACGCGCAACCTCCCTGCGCTGCGGACAGCGACCCCTGGCGGCCCGGCGGAGCGCGGCACAGAGCCCCGGGGGTGGCGGCGTCGAGGCTCGGGGGGAGCATCCCCGAGCCCCGGGTTATGCAGAATTGAGCCACAGAACAGCCTGTGCGTCCCGGAGCCTTTATTTCTAAGTACACAGGACAAAGCTGGTGACGGCCGAGTCCCGGGACCCGCTCCCGGTGCCGCGAAGTGAGGAACTGCAAGCCCACAGGGAGCAGGACGCGGCGGCTGCCCCGGTGTTTCCCTCCTCACGCCCTCGCACGCTTGAAGAGGAAGATGAGGAGACCACCGAGGAGACCCTTCTCCAGCAGGATGCCAAGCCACAAGCCGGGGCTGGACAGGAGGCTCACACCTGCGGTGGGAACACGGCGATGTGAGCGTGTCTTTCCAAAAGAACCCTTTGGCCGTGGGGGTGAAAGGCTCCGAATCCCCCAGCCCCACTCTGTGGCTGGGGCTGGACATGTCCGGGTAGGTGGGTTTGGCTGTGGGGAGAAGCGTGGGGCATCTTGCCACTCTCCCCATGCCCAGGGCTGCAGGGAGAGGGTCTTCCATGGGGACACAGATGCACCTGGAGACCCCCAACCCCCTTCCCCATCCCCACTTGCTCTAAGGGGAGCCCAGTGTTGTGGGCTGTGCCAGGGGCAGCACCCGGCAGGGCTGGTTCCCATTGGGAGCTGCTCTGGGAGCCCCCACTCACCATGTACAGACACCTCTGTGCCATTTCCACGCCGAAAAACCTCAACACGGTCCATATGTCTAGTAACCTTCACGCAGTAATAGGTGCCGGCATCTGCAGGGCAGACTTTCTTGATGTGGGTGGTGAAGTCTGTTTCAGACTGATCCACCGCCCTCATCACGTCAGGGAAGGAGCCCGTCTGGTCATAGATGGTCTGGTTCCCACTGCCCCAGCCCTTCAGCCACTTCACGGGGCCAGCGGGCCTGGCACTGGACGTGGTGCAGGTGAGGGTGAGCGTCTCCCCCACTGTCACTGACACCTTGTCCTGGCACAGCTCAAAGCCCTGAGTCACCTGGGCACCAGTTCTGAGCCACCCCAGCGTCCACACCTGGGCACAGTGAGAGGAGAGTTTGGGGCTGAGGAGGGGCTCCAGAGCCCAGACCCAGCACAGGGCATTCCCAGACCCCTGGACCCGAGCCTAGAGCAAGGGACAAAGAGTCATCCCCATCCCTCGGCCCCACTGGGCAGTGAGCACTGCTGGAAGAGACTGTGGGATGGGAAGACACTGGGACACCCAGGACATGCTGGAGTAAAGCAAATCTTCAGCTGGAGCTGAAAGCAAGCTGAAAGGGAGGCGGTGAGGGAAGAGCCCCAAATACTCACAGGAAGGTTGTGCAACACCGAACGCTGAGATGCATCCCCTGAGCCTCACGTCAGGCTTATGGCATGGCCACTCCCAGGGATGTGGCCACAGTCTGCCCAACAATCCCTTGCTATGCTGGCTCCCCCCACCATGGGACTCTTTCCTGGGACAGACCCCCAAAACCTCTTCCGAACCCCACAGTCCCCAAGCAGAGCCCACCCGGCTGGGATGGGATGGGCTGAGCCAGTGGCAGCACCCGGCAGGGCTGGTTCCCACCGGGAGCTGCCCTGGGAGCCCCACTCACTGTATACAGACACCTTTGTGCCTTTTCCATGCCGAAAAACCTCAACACTGCCCGGCGATTTGCGGAACTTCACGCAGTAATAGGTGCCGGCATCCTCGGGTTGAACGTCCCTGATGTGGATGGTGAAGTCTGTGTTGGACCCATCCTCTGCCCTCGTCACACGGGGGAAGGAGCCCGTCTGGTCGTAGGCGACCTCGCTCCCTCTGCCCCAGCCCTTCAGCCACTTCACGGGGCCAGCGGGACCGTCTCCAGACACGGTGCAGCTCAGAGTGAGCGTCGATCTCGCTTTCACCGACACCTTGTCCTGGGGCTGCTGCAGCTCAAAGCCCTGAGTCACCTGGGCACACACACCTGGGCACAGCGACAGGAGGGTTTGGGGCTGATGGGGGGCCCAGGAGCCAAGGCACAGCATGGGGCATCTCCAGACCCTCAGCCCCGAACCCACGGCAGGGGACATCCCTGTCCCTCGTCCCTCAGGGCAGCCATCACTGCTGGGGACTGTGGGATGGGGGGGAACAGGACCCCCGGGATGTTCTGGCGTAAAACAAACGGTTTGGTGGGGCAGAAAGCAAGCCGGAAGGGCGGCAGTGAGAGAAGAGCCCTGGGCACAGGTGGGCACAGGGAAGGGTTGCCAAGGATGGTGTCGGGGGAAAGGTGCCGGGGCTGTGCGGGGCCCCCACTCACCCGGGACTCTGCGCAGCAGGAGCAGCATCAGGCAGGCGAGAGGCAGCGCCCGCGTTGCCGGAGCCATGGTCATTCCCACGTCCCGCTCCCCACGGCTCAGCTCGGCTCAGCCGGGCTCAGCTGGGTGCTGGTCTCTGCCCCGGCAAAGGGGAAGGAAGGGGCTCACCACCGGCCATCCATCAGCACCATCTCACGTCACGGGGCTGCTCCTCTCCAGTGATGTCAGTCCCTCTCTCCCCACAGATCTGGGCGATGGTCACCATCACTGGGCAGCCAAAGAGGGGAGAGTGACTCGGCTCCTGATGGGGGATCTCAGCCTCTTCCCACTGCAGCTCCGGGGTAAGTCTGGAGTGGGGAGGTGGCAGCTCCCAGACAGCTCTCCCGCTTCCCTACCTCACCGGCTGCTGCTGCCAGGGGCTGTGCAGGGGGGCTGGGAGATGGCAGGGGAGATGTCGTGGCAGCAGATCGCAGCAGATCGCTAACACGAGCAAGCTGGCAAAGATAAACACCGGATGGGGTGGTGAGGCAGGGGGGTTTCTTTCCTCCTCTGACCGTGTTTTTGGGCTGTGCAGGGCTGCACAGGACAAGGTGCAGCGGGAGAACTGCCAGGAGGGGCTGCAGGCTCGGGGTCTGCAGCGGGGCTCTGCACCCCGGGCGATGGCGGGTGTGTGGGATGCGGGCAGTGCCAGTGCCCAGAACAGGCGGTGCAGATAAGCCATAGAACAGTCTGTGCATCTCAGCCCCTTTATTTCCAGGTACACAGGACAAAGCTGGTGGCGGCCAAGCACCCAGACCTGCTCCCAGCACCATACCCCAAGGAACCGGGAACCAACAGCGAGCAGGGCACGGCGGCTGCCCCGGTGTTTCCCTCCTCACGCCCTCGCACGCTTGAAGAGGAAGATGAGGAGACCACCGAGGAGACCCTTCTCCAGCAGGATGCCAAACCACAAGCCGGGGCTGGACAGGAGGCTCACACCTGCAGTGGGGACAAGGGGACGTCAGTGGCTGTAGCTCAAGGACAGGAATCCCACAGCCCCCTGTTGCCCCCAAGACCCAGCAGCTCTCACGCACTGTTAACTGTCAGGGCCCACTTATTCACTCCCTCCCTGTCCGGAGCAGCGATCCACAGGGTGGTCACCCTTTCCACAGGGACCTGGGCATCATGCACCACACGGCAGGTGAATGTGGACCCGTTCTTCTCCTCCATCGCTTTGACCTCCACCACGCTACTCAGCTGGAACAAGCCCTGGGACATCTCCACCGGTCGGGGGGTGTTCTCCACGCTCATCTCCATCCCGTTCTCCAGCCAGGTGACAACGACATTTCCTGGGTAAAACCCCTTCACGTGGCAGATGAATTTCACGGTCTTGTTCACCCCAACGGGGCTCGGTGGGTCAGCATCCACATGGACAATGGGAGAAACTGGGAAGAGAGGCAGTGCCCAGTGCCTGGTGCCCAGCGTCCCCCGGCTCCGCTGCCGGTGGGGTGCCGTGTCCCTGCCCTGGGACCCCAGCCCCACGGGAGCTAGACACCCTGAGCGGTGGTTCCCCCCCAGCCCTCACCTCGCAGGGCTTGGCTGAGCTGGTACGTGCCCCTCAGTGGGGCTCTCAGCGTGAGGTGCTGCACCTCGCAGATGAGCTGTGAGCGGACATCTTCCTCCCGCAGCGTCATCGTCACCGTGCTGGACATGTTGTAGGAGGCTTTTGTCTGCCCGGGGGTGATCTGGGCTGGCTGAGCCGAGATGGAGGTCCGATCCTTGAACCATTTCACGCTGATGTCTTGAGGGAAGAACCCTCCGGCCGTGCAGGTGAAAGGCACCGATTCCCCCGGCCCCACTCTGCGGCCGGGCCCGGACACGACCGGGTGGGTGGGTTTGGCTGCAGGGAGAAGTGTGGGGCCATCAGAGTGGGCTCTGCCACCCCTGCCCAGCCCCGGGGCTGCAGGGAGAGGGGTCTCCCACAGGAGAGGGCATCCCACACATGTGCCCAGGGATGGCCCACGGGACCCACTCCTGGGACCACCACCCACGCCCCTTCCCCATCCTCACAAGCCCCGAGCAGAGCCCACCAGGCTGGGCTGGGCTGTGCTGGGAGCAGCACCCGGCAGGGCTGGTTCCCATCAGGAGCTGCCCTGGGAGCCCCACTCACCAAGTACAGACACCTCTGTGCCTTTTCCACGCCGAAACAGCTCCTCACCATCCGGGAATAATTTCTGGAACTTCACACAGTAATAGGTGCCGGCATCCTCGGGTTGAACATCCCTGATGTGGATGCTGAAGTCTGTTTCAGACTCATCCACTGCCCTCGTCACGCGGGGGCAGGAGCCCGTCTGGCCATAGATGGTCTGGTTCTCACTGCCCCAGCCCTTCAGCCACTTCATGGGGCCAGGGGGACCACCAGGGGATATGGTGCAGGTCAGGGTGAGCGTCTCTCCAGCTTCCATTGACACCTTGTCCTGGGGCTGCTGCAGCTCAAAGCCCTGAGTCACCTGGGCACCCGCACCTGGGCACAGCAACAGGAGGGTTTGGGGCTGATGGGGGGCCCAGGAGCCAAGGCACAGCATGGGGCATCTCCAGACCCCCAGCCCCCAACCCACAGCAGGGGACATCCCTGTCCCTCGTCCCCCGGGGCAGCCATCACTGCTGGGGACTGTGGGATGGGGGGGAACAGGACCCCCGGGATGTTCTGGCGTAAAACAAACGGTTTGGTGGGGCAGAAAGCAAGCCGGAAGGGCAGCAGTGAGAGAAGAGCCCCGGGCACCCGCGGGCACAGGGAAGGGTTGCCCACCAGTGGCATGGAGGATGGTGTCGGGGGAAAGGTGCCGGGGCTGTGCGGGGCCCCCACTCACCCGGGACTCTGCGCAGCAGGAGCAGCATCAGGCAGGCGAGAGGCAGCGCCCGCGTTGCCGGAGCCATGGTCATTCCCACGTCCCGCTCCCCACGGCTCAGCTCGGCTCAGCCGGGCTCAGCTGGGTGCTGGTCTCTGCCCCGGCAAAGGGGAAGGAAGGGGCTCACCACCGGCCAAGTTCCTCCACAGGCACCTTGCACAAGTCCCAGCCGGTTCCCAGCCTTCCTGCCGTCCCACGTCACGACACCGGTCCCCCCCAGCGACGTCCGTCCCGCTCTCCAGGGCACGGATGTGTGCCCCGGGCACGGGCACGGGCACCGGGCAGCCAGAGAGAGCGGCCCCGATCCCTCGTGCTCCCCTGCGTGTGGCCAGCCCTCCCTCGGCACCCCGGGGCGTTGGGGGGACACCCAGCCCTCGCAGCAGGATGGGGGCGTTGGGGCTGGCATCTCCGAGGGGCCCGAGGGGCAGAGCTCGCCCAGGGCTTGGCCGCAGCCCCCCGCAACCCAAGCGGGCCGGGCAGAGCCGCTCTCCCTCCCGCCCCACGCCCCGCACGGCCCCTCGGGCTCGGGGGGCTCTCCTCCCTCGGGGGACGATGCCCTTCGGGACGAAGCTGCCCTGCAGCTCCTCCGCCGCCCCACGCCCGCCCCGGGGCAGGCCCCAGAAGCGTTCACATCCCGCGCCCGCTCCCTTCCATTTCCTGTGCAGCTTCTCCTTCCCCTTCTCCCGCCGCCGGAGCCCCGCGGCCGGGCAGTGCCCATGGCTTGGCGAGCCGCTCTGGGGGCTCAGCTCCTGCTCGGGCAGCTCAGCCTCATCCCGCTGCGGCTCCCGGGTGAGTCCGGAGCGGGGCGGCGGCGGCGGCAGCCCCCCGACAGCTCTCGGGGGGGGACGGCGGGGGGGAGGCCCGGGCGGTCGGAGCGGATCGCTATGGCGAGCAGGCCGGCGGAGAGAAACACCCTCCCGGGAGGACGGACTTTCCTCCTCCGGCCACTTTTTTGGGCTGCGCGGGGATGGCGGGGGGCAAGACGGGCGGGGGGTGCAGCAGCGAGCCCCGGGATTTGCGGCTTCCAGCCCCGGGATTTGCGGCTTCCAGCCCCGGGATGTGCAGCACCGAGCCCCGGGGTGCACAGACGTGTCCCCCCCCGGGATGTTCGGAACTGACGCTCCGGGATTTGCAGCCCCGAGCCCCGTTGCCGGAGGTAGCAGAGGGCTTTGGGCAGAAGGAATTTGGGGGTAAGGAGGGGTTTTGGGGGCTGCGCTCTTCTCCATCCCAGCTCAGAGCCGGCTCCTGGCCAGGGCTACGCACAGCCCCGGGCTCTGAACCCCGCTTCCTCGTCGAGCCCCAGTAATCTTGGCTCACGTTGTACCGAGCTGGGGCGTTAATATTTAACAGCACTCGGGAGTTTTTCCTGCCAGGAATTCCCCTTGGCTCCCTCTCTACCTCACCGGATTCCCAGCACTCGCACCGCTTCTCGTTAAGGACAGGAGAGGGGATGTAAATTTGCCCCTGGTTCATTTTTAACCTGGCTCCTGCCGCTGCCGGTGCCTGCGCTTTGTCTCTGCTGGATCCAGGGGTATTTCTCAGCTGGGGGGGAAGCAGGGACCGCTCTGCCCCTGCCCCTGCTGCTGGGGCGAGTGGAGCCAGCCCTCGTTCCATCGCTCAGCCCCAACCCCTCCTGTTGCTGTGCCCAGGTGCGGGTGCCCAGGTGACTCCGAGATTCGAGCTGCAGCAGCCCCAGGACAAGGTGTGACTCTGAGCTTCCAGCTGTGGCAGCCCCAGGACAAGGTGTCAGTGACAGTGGGGGAGATGCTCACCCTGACCTGCACCACGTCCAGCGACAGGCCTGCTGGCCCCGTGAAGTGGCTGAAGGGCTGGGGCAGTGAGAACCAGACCATCTATGGCCAGACGGGCTCCTTCGCCCGCGTGCGTGACAGTGGGGAAGACGCTCACCCTGACCTGCACCGTGTCCCCTGGTGGTCCCCCTGGCCCCGTGAAGTGGCTGAAGGGCTGGGGCAGTGAGAACCAGACCATCTATGGCCAGACGGGCTCCTTCGCCCGCGTGACGAGGGGGGAGAATACGTCCAACACAGACTTCAGCATCCACATCAGGGATGTTCAACCCGAGGATGCCGGCACCTATTACTGTGTGAAGTTCCAGAAATTATTCCCGGATGGTGAGGAGCTGTTACAGCGTGGAAAAGGCACAGAGGTGTCTGTACACGGTGAGTGCAGCCCAGCTGGCTGGAGAGCAATAATGATGAGATGTTTGATCATGGAAAAGGGACAGAAGTGTCTGTACACGGTGAGTGCAGCCCAGCTGGACGCTGCCCCCCCGGGGACCCTGTCCCATGGCCCCCACCTTTCCGTCCATGGGGTCCCGCACTGCCCTGCACCCACCACCCTCTCTCTGCTCTGCCTTGTATCTCCGCAGAGGCAACCCCGGTTCCCACCATGGTGGCTATAGCTGTAGTGCTCTGCTTCCTCCTCCTCGGCCTCTTCGTCGCCTGTTGCATGTACAGGAGGAAGCACAGAGGCGAGGCACAGAGCCCAGCCAGGCCGGCGGCCATGGGGGGCTTCTCACCCATCCCTCTGCAGTGCTGTGCACGGACCCCCGGTACCCCCAGGTTTGTGCCCACCACCTCTTCCTTTTGCACCCCAAGACAAGTCACCCACCTTGTCTACCTGCCTTATCCTGATTTCCTCTCTCTCTGGAGGAGTGATTCTCCCCAGAAGAGGTCCTTTGCTCACAGACACATCACTGCCCTGCGTCGCTTCTCTCTGTGTTCCATGGGAGTGCGTGGCAGGGAGCACCCGGCACCAGGGAGCTCCCTGCAGCCCCTCACCGCGGTGTCTGAGCCCATCCCAGGCCCACAGACAGCCCGTTAGCCCTCTCCTCTGCCTTCAGCATGGGTGTCACGTGTGGCCACATGCTGCAAAGCCTGGCTGCAATTCGGGAGGGGAATTGAGGAGCGCTGTGCCTGGCGGGGTGGGGAGGGGACCCAGCTCCCTTTAAGAGGAATTGAGGAGCGGGGTGGGGAGGGGACCCAGCTCCCTTTAGCTCTAATGGCCGTCCTTTCCCCCAGCAGCGAAGTCCTGGATGCAGAGAGCTCACATCTGGCCAACCAGGTAAGAGTGAGCCCTGAATATGGGGAAGAGCATCCCCTGCTGATGTCCCAGCTTGCAGGGATTCTGCAAGGCTCCGGGGCCAGCGTGGGCACTGGGTGGGCAGCCGCTGCCTGCATGTGGTTCTGGCACGCTGTGTGGGGTCACCCCTGCAGTTGTGGCACCTTCCTCCTGGCTTGAACCTGCTCTTAGGGTTATTTTTGCAAGATTTATCTAGTGACAGCGTTAACTGTTTGTGTGTGCTTCTGCAGCAAAACAGCAAGGAGGACAACTACATCCACTACGCCGATCTCCAGCCCCTGCCCTCTGCCCGGCGGCACGTCAGGAGCCCCGACGCAGCCGGCTCCGAGTACGCCAGCGTCAGGGTGGCTGCCAAGTGATGCCTGGCACCGCGGCCTGCGAGGCTGAAGAGCCCGTTTTGGGGGAGGAAGCAGGGACATTTCTGCAGGACACAATAAAGAAGAAGTGGATCTGTTTGCATAGCACACCCCGGGCTGAGCTTATCACGCTCAGCAAAGATCCCCCTCATTCGTTCCTGATCTTGGTGGCCACAGTGGGCAGGGTGAGGCTCAGGGCCGGACCTGCTGTGCCAGGGCTTGGCAGCAGCTCTGCCAGGACCCTGTGGCCATCTCGAGCACAGGATCAGGCCATGGGGCTGAGCACCTCTGCCTTGTGGAAGCCGTGTGGTGCCAGTTGCTCCAGGAGGAGGTCTCAAACGTCTGTCTCCACCAGCACGGGCCACCACCGGCACTTTCTTGGCTCAGCAGGTTCATAATTTGTGTTATCTTGTCATGGCATCAAGCCCAGCCTCATTAAAGCCAGCAAACAGCCATTCTGTCCCATCCTGCTGTGTTCAGAGCAAGAGCAGTAGCGCCGGCCCTGCAGGGTCCCGGGAGACGTGTGGCCTCCACAGCCCCACACCAGCTCACCCTGTGCTGCTTGTGCCAGCCCCACGGGCAGCCCCCACCTCCCACCCTGCCCGGCTCCCCCCAAATCTGCATCTTCTGACCACACACAGGGCACTGTCGGGACCTCCTCGCCTTTCCCTGACCCACCGACGGGGCTGGTATTTGGGAGCAGGGATCCTGATGGTGTGTTAAAAGCAGGGCACCAGCCTGCCTGCCCTTCCACCCCTTCTCCCTTGAACCCTGAACGTCTGCTCCAGCCGCAGCCAGCCCATGCACATCTGCTCCATGCACATCCCCTACTCTGGGCAAGTCTCCTGCTCCATGCTCATCCCCTGCTCCATGCACATCTGCTCCGTGCACATCTGCTCCATGCACATCCCTTGCTCCGTACACGTCTGCTCCATGCTCATCTCCTGCTCCGTGGACATCTGCTCCATGGTCATCTTCTGCTCCATGGACATCTGCTCCATGCACATCCCCTACTCTGGGCAAGTCTCCTGCTCCATGCTCATCCCCTGCTCCACACACATCTGCTCCATGCACATCCCTTGCTCCATACACATCTGCTCCATGCCCATCTTCTGCTGCACGCACATCTGCTCCACACACATCTGCTCCATGCACATCCCCTACTCTGTGCAAATCTCCTGCTCCATGCTCATCCCCTGCTCCATGCACATCTGCTCCGTGCACATCTGCTCCATGCACATCCCTTGCTCCATACACATCTGCTCCATGCCCATCTTCTGCTGCACGCACATCTGCTCCACACACATCTGCTCCATGCACATCCTCTGCTCCATACACATCTTCTGCTCCATACAAATCTTCTCCTTGTACACCTCCTGCTCCATGCACATCTGCTCTGTGCACATCTGCTCCATGCTCATCTCCTGCTCCATGCACATCTGCTCCATGCACATCCCCTGCTCCATACACATCTTCTCCTTGTACACCTCCTGCTCCATACACATCTGCTCTGTGCGCATCTGCTCCATGCACATCTCCTGCTCCATGGACATCTGCTCCATGCACATCCCCTAATCTGTGCAAGTCTCCTACTCCGTGCTCATCCCCTGCTCCACACACATCTTCTCCTTGCACATCTCCTGCTCCATGCACATCTGCACCATGCTCATCTCTTACTCCATGCACATCTGCTCCATGCACATCTGCACCATGCTCATCCCCTGCTCCACGCACATCTTCTCCTTGCACATCTCCTGCTCCAGTCTCCTGCTCCGTGCTCATCCCCTGCTCCGCACGCATCTTCTCCTTGCACATCTCCTGCTCCATGCACATCTGCTCCATGCTCATCCCCTGCTCCACATGCATCTTCTCCTTGAACATCTCCTGCTCCATGCACATCTGCTCCATGCACATCTGCTCCATGCACATCTGCTCCGTGCACACCCCCTGCTCGGTGCACGTCATCCCCTGCTCCACATGCATCTTCTCCTTGAACATCTCCTGCTCCATGCTCATCTGCTCCATGCTCATCTCTTACTCCATGCACCTCTGCTCCATGCACATCTGCTCCGTGCACACCCCCTGCTCGGTGCACGCGTGCTGGGTGCCTACCTCTGAGGGGAGTGGGCTGGTGGCCGAGGAGAGAGCGTGGTGACGGCCCCCGGATGCACCCCGGTGTGACGTGTCACACCACCCACCCGTGGCAGTGGGTGCTCCCACTGCACCGAGCGCTGCTGCACACAAATACCCACCTTTGCGGGCCCGGGCTGAGGGTGACACACACTTTTCAGGCAGAGGAACCAGCAGTTTCGGCCACTGCTGCTGCCTGTAACCTTGAAAGCTGCTGCAGTTGCTGGTTTCTAACTTTATCTACTTTTTACTGTGCCATCAGAAAAAGAGAAGTGAAACAAGACAGTGTGAAACAGCAGCGTGTGCGCACCCAGGGGAGCCGTGTCTGCTGGCAGAGATCCTCTTGGGGACAGAATTGTTAAGGGGGGGAGAGGAGCCACTACTGAAATTCATCTGCATGACTGAGTAATCGTCCCCTTTTCGGGGGATGTGCCCTGGGGGCACTTTGGGGTCATTTCTTTCTCAGAGAGCACTCGGGCACCCAGTAAACCCAGAGGGAGTTTGCCAGGGCAGGGGTCCATCACCGCTGCCCCCGGCACCGTCCCCAGCCCAGTCCCCTCTGGACCAGCCTCAACGACAGCTGGGGGACGTGGAGTGGGGGTGCCGGGGTGAAGCTTCCCCTGGCACTGGATCCCAAGTGGGACCATGGCCACCACGGGCAGGGGGTCATTTGCCATCTGAGGCTGCAGTTGCTCCGAGCAGGACGGCCTCCCTGCGGGGAGGAGACCGAAGCTCACGGGGAGCTCACGTCAGGATCGCCAGCAGGAGTATGTAAACTATGTGGGTGAGACTGAAACGGGGATAGACCTCGCAGACAAGGGGAAATGAAATTCACGGGGATTTAAGGCTTTTATACGCTGGGCTGGGTCAGGAGGTGGGGGGTGGGGGGGGAAATCCAGTTTGATATAAGCATATGCAAAGCAAGGAGGGAGAGGAGCACCGCGGAGAACCCTGCACCTAGGAAAGGGCCCAGGACTGCAGCTTACTGCCCAGGGAAGGGATTTAGTGGTTATTATAGGAAAATCCTTTAAGCCACCAGCCCGGGGTGTGCCGGCAGTGAAAGCACAAACAAGCGCCCGAGCTCAGGCACAAGGTAGGAGCGTGTCGGGGAGCACCTCGCTTGGGGGGGGGAGCAGCACTTCACTTGGGGGGCAACACCTCGCTTGGGGGGCAGAAGTGGGGCGACGCTGGGGTCAGGGATTTACTACTCATCCCTAGAGGTGGTTTCCTGGTGCCACCGGGTGTCACGTCCCGCCGGGTGCTCGAGCGAGGAAGGAGGGTGCTTGTGCCAGGTCACGATGGCTGGGGTGGGCACGGGGCGATGCTGGGGCTGGTACCCACCTGGGTCCTCCTGCCCACAGCCAGGGATGAGCAAAGGTGGCTTCTCTGGCAGAGCAGAGGTGGTGGCTGGATGGGTGGTGGGATGAGGCTCAGGGTCCCAGCCAGGGAGGGGACACGCCAGCTCCAGTTGGGGTTTGGGTGATGTCCCAGCGCTGGATCCTGGACACCCAGGGCAGCACCGTGATGGGGTGAGGGTGCAATGGATGAGGCTGTGGTGGTGTGTCCTGGCAAACGGGCCTGGCAGCTGGCCCCTACCACAGCCAGAAGCTCCTGGTGTGTGGGTGGTTGTGGGGGGTTTAGCTGGGCTTTTCCTCCGTGTGGTCTGTGAGCCCAGCGGGATTTGGTGGGATGGCAAAGCCAAGCAAAGGGGTTGGAGGAGAGGCTGAGCTGGGCTGCATCTGTGCAGCCCCCCACCCTGGGGAGAGGCAGAAAGCAGGAGCTGGGAAAGTACCAAGGGGTTGCTCGGGGGCTGCCCCAGTGTCTTCTCTGCTCCCAGCACCCGGAGGTGGCGAGGGGAAAGGGCTGGCAGAGCCCCCTGGGGTGGCAGAGTGTGCTGTGCTGTGCCAGGGAGCCAGCGTGGGGGGCACGGGCTGTGGCCAGAGCCAGCAGGGAGCATGAGCCTCCACTGAAAACATGGGAATAACAGAGAGCAATTAGTCCAGAGAGCGTGGCTGACGGAGGAGGCTGGTCCCAGCAGCGAGGGGAGGGGAAGCAGTGATTTAATTAATGCTGAGGAAGAGCATGCTCTCAGCTAGTGCATGGAGCTGGCTGAAGAAGGGAGATGAGGGATCTCCCCGGTGTCCTGGGGGACAGGAGAGAGCTGGCAGCACTCACAGGGGAGAGGGACAAAGCTGAGCTTGTGCTGGAGCCAGGGCTGAGCAAGGAGAAAAGGGCAGAGACGGGGACAAAGGCCTCGTGCCCTACCCCAGGATGCCCCAGGTCTGCAGTGAGAAGCAGAGACGCCCCCCACGCTGGCAGTGCCTCTTATGGGGATGGTGCCCAGGGGCCACCCCGTTTCCCAGGAGCCCGTGTTGCTCCAGCTTGTCCCCTCCAGTGGCCGTTCCAGCCAAGGCCCTGATTTGTGGGTGTCTCAGTCCAAGATGCTCTTGTGCTCCTGCTCTGTCCCCATGCCTGTCCTCATCCCTGTCCCCATTCCTAGCCTTGCCCCTTGGAGACCATAGTGGCCACGAGCCCATGCCCAGGGAGAGACAAACTGCTCCCTTTGCACATCATCAGCCAAGCAGCCATGGGTTCAAGAGTATCCCAAGCCACTGGGACTCCACAGGGCCCCCACAATGCCATAAGCACCAGATGATGCCATGGGGACCCCAAAATGACATAGAAACCCACAGAGATCAAGCAACACCATGGGGATGCTGTGCCAGGACAGTGATGGGGAGCAGCACAAGGAGCTGGAGGTGGTTGGGAGAAGGTGGAGCTGGAGGAGGAACGGCTGGGATGTTCTGAGGGGGTTTTAAGGGCAAGAGGGTTTCAGGGACACTTTGAATGTCCCCAAGAAATATCACATGGGTCTCACCTGTGCCTGCTGACTGCCCTGAGATGAACTCCTGCCAGGAGAGGGAACTGGAGGGAGAAACCCTGGGCTGCTGCACGGCTGGACCCTGCTCCCACCAATTCCAAACCCGCGAGCTTGCCCCTTTGCAGCTCCTCATTTCTCAGGTTTTTCCTTGGAAAGTGAGGAACAAAGCCAAAGTAAAACAGTGACATGTTTTTATGCCCTTCCTGATTTATTTCATGTCTTACTTACTGAACCTTATTCCCCGGTTTCACGGTTATTGTGGATTTTTATTAAAGGGGATAAACAGGTCTGGGATTTGGGGTTGTCATAGGAACTGTTTTGGTGCTGCAGCCTCACTGCCAGCCTCATCCTCCCCCCGGGTTCCTGATGGGGTGAGGGCTCTCACGGGCACAGCAGAGATTGCTCCAGCCCCCGAGCACGGCCCCAGTGAAAACCACGTTGTGGGACAACCCACCACCCTGTGGGACCCCCCCACGTTCAGGGAGGAGGTGGGCTCCCAGGCGCTCACTGGCCATGCCCACACCACAGCTTGGCCCTGTGGCCACAGGTCTTTAAGCTGAGGAGAGGTGGATGTGCTTGGAGGATGCTGCTTTTCCATGTGGATTCTCTGGTGTCTAATAGGAGGTTGTGCCATTGCAGTTATTGCTTCTGGGAACCTCTCTGCCCAACCTGGAATTATTTTCATTAAATCCCTGGAGCTGATGGGGCATGGGGCAGAGCGGGGGCTTCCTTACAGCCATTCCCCATCTTTTCTATCACATCAGAGGGGGCAGGTGGTGAAAATGAAAGTGTCAAACACATTTCAAAGGAAATCCCTTGCGCCCAACACTGCTTTGGCCCGTGCGGTCGTTCACTGCAGGATGTGGTGGAGGCCAAGATTCTGGCAATGATTAAAGAGGGATTTCCAGGACCGTGGGACGAGCAGGAACAGGCAGTGCTTAAGAAAGACTCACTTTGTGCTTTCGGTGTTTGATGGGACATTGCTCAGGGACAATTGTGCTCTGGAGCTGGCACAGGGAAGGTGGATCCAGCTGCTACTCTTGGTCCTGCCAGCGCTGAGAGAGGGTCCCCAGGCAGGCAGGAGGGGTGTCCTGCCTCCTCTGGGGCTGCCCAGGGCTCCTCGTGGTGGGTCAACTGATGGTGACACGTTGGAGTGGTCCTGGTCCCCTGACATCATGTCCTGAGTGAGTCATGCACGAAATCAGGGATACTCGGATGGGTTTTGTCCAGGGAAAAGAGCTGGGGTCTGCTGCTCGAGATGGAGAAACCCTTTGGGGAGCTCCCCTTCCCTTCCCTTGGCACGGGGCATCCCTGGCCGACAGCAAGGGCAGGACACTGTGGGGGTCCCCAGGGCTCCCCGCTCCTCCTGGCACAGAGTGACCTTAAACTCAGCCATTCTTGGCCACAGCCCCGGCGCTGGCAGGGACCCGAGCCCGGCACAAGTGTCTCTCTGAGGAGAAGTGCAGGGAAAGGGAAAATAAAATATTTAGAGAGGCAGGAGAAGGGAGAAAAGCAGGCGCTGCAGGGGGGGAGCCACGGAGAGGGCTGAAAGCGTGTTCTCAGTGGGCTTTTGTTTGCCCCAGACGTGCCCGGCAGCGGTGCCAGCGCGGAGGGGCTGTGCCGGCGCCGGTGGCTCCCAGAGGGGCACAGCGGGGCGAGCCCGGTGCTCCGGCAACGAGCCCGGTGTCTCGGCCTGGGCAAGCACCCGGGAGCAGGATGTGGCCCCCTATTCCCCCCCCAGAGCCTTCGCCCCTCGGGGTGGGCAGCATCAACCGGGCGCTGGCTGAAAGAATCGCTTCTGACGGCTCCATTTCTTCCGCACGGTTCAGGCTTAATTTTATAATGGTATGGGTAACTATGGCAACGTGTAAAAATAACGTCTACCCCGAGCCCAGTAAATTCTCCGTAAAGAGCTCCCGTCTCCGGGAGCCCAGGGAAGCCCTGGCCCCGGGTTGGGGGGGGTGTGGGCGGGTGTGGGGCAGCAGCCCCCTGCCCGCAGAGCAGGCTGCCTGCGCCCTGGGTTAGTGTTTGGGTTAGGATTCACACGATGACTAATTAGTGGTGTTAACTGCTTACGCCTTGGGATGATGATTTCGTTTGCTAATCCTTGGGGCTAGGCAGGGCTCGCAGAGGCTAATTGGGTGGATATCATTAATGCTGGCGGTCAGGAGCTGCTGTTAAAGGGCTGCAGCGTGACCAAGCCTGGAGCATCCCTCATGCCTGCTGCGGGGCAGATGCTTTGCCACCGGATCTCAGGGTCCCCTCTTGGCACCTGAGACCCAGCTCAGGGCTAGTAGCCACTGGGGGCTGTGCACAGCTCAGACCCTGCATTGCCATCGGGGCAGTGGTCACATTTGGGGTTGGAACAAGATGATCTTTCAGGTCCCTTCCATCCCAAACCATTCTATGACTCTGTGATTTGTACCTACAGCCCCGTCCCAGAGCTGTTGCTACTACAGATGCATGTACATGTGTGCACATACATATGCACAAGCATGTCCAGCAACACACACACACACACACAGAACGGGCTTCCCATGTGCCCGCACACCCCCTCAGCAGACATCAGCTGGTGCCGATGTGTGTCTCGGCTCAGACATCTCTGGTCACCGCTGCTCGTAGATAATCCCAGGCAATATTTTCTAAACCTGTTAGACATCACTCAGGCCTTTTAAATCCCTGATCCCCCTCCACGGCTCCGGCGGCCCGCCACGCTCTGGGGCAGGACGGCAGCATTTCACAGCTCTGATTTGCAGCTCCTTATCGGGGCCAGGCTACACCCTTGGGACCAGTGCAGTCACCGGGAGCGTGGTGGATCCTGCAGAGCTGGATTAATCCTGGTGCTTTTTGTTGCCCTTCAGCTTCAAAAAAAAAAAAAAAAAAAAAAAAATAGACAAAACAACACAAATCCCTTGCAGAAGCATTTTTCTTCAAACTCCCAGTAGCAGACCAGCATGGCCCCAGCCCTGCGGGGGGTCAGGCAGCATGGATGTGCCTGGTCTCAACGGGGCCAAAGCAAACAGCCCCGAGCCTGGCATGCTCTGGGGACAGTGTGGGGACAGCCACCACAGGGGACAGCCCAGTGTCAGGTCTGGGGAGAGCACTGGTGGTGCTGGGGGCTGGTAAAGACAGCAGCACCCCCATCCAGGGATGGGTCTGGCTGTTTCGGGGGGTGCATCCCCCCCCCAGCCACTGTGCAATTACCATTTCCACCGTGATGCACGAGATATGCCACTTTCACAAATAACCTCAGAAAATAGCCCTCTCTGCCAGCCACGCCGTTCTCTCTCAACACCCTCATTAATAACACTCAGCAAAGGGTGAGGTGGGGTTGTACCCCATCTCCTGCACCCCATGTCCCCCAGCTCAGCCCTCCGCAGGGGCATCTCCCCGGAGGTGGGGGTGCGTGGCCAGCCAAGGTCCAACAGCACAAATGCCCCCACCAAACCTGGGCTTCAAAGTCCCGCAGCCATCCTGGTGCCTCCAGTGAGAGCTCTGCCGAGCAGGAAGCGATGGGCTGAGATAGCTTAACGTGATAAATCCCCCCGCGTTAGCATTTTTATTTTCATCTGCAGCTGCCACAGGACTCTATCAGGCAGCCCAGCCTGCAATGAGTTATAGCAGCCGAGCCTGCGAGCGCGTGGAGCATTATCTGCTATTGCAGCGTTGGATGCGCTTTCATGATAACAATTTGCAATCAACAAAGAACTTTGAGAGGATGCGGGGGAAAAAAAGAGGCTGAAGAAAACCAAGATTGTATCGCTCCTCCCTCGGCCAGGCTCCTCAACCCACCACGGTCCTAATGGTACCACCAAGGGGAGACCAAGGTCTTCTCTAGCATCGCTCCATGGGGCTGTAGGATCAAAGGCACTTGCTGTTGTCACGTGCATCCCCACAGCCTGCACCCACAGCCCCACCACCCATAGCACCCCCAGGAGCATTTGGCTTCCAGGCTGTCCCACAGGGTTGTCCCCCGGCCAGCCATGGCACTGGCAGCCCCCAAGTTAGGAGCAGGGGGCAGCTGAAGGAGAATGGGCTGCATCCAATGTGAGAAACCACCAGCAGCTCTGGCAGGGACCTGGCCAGCTGGGAAGAGCCACAGCTGCAGGGGCTCGAGAGAGTAAAGTAAATTTGTCTGGCGTCAGTGTGACAAGGCCTCCCGTTATCCCCTGTACAGGAATTTGGCCACGGGCTGGGGTGGAACTGCCTGTGCGTTGTGGGGAACCAGGTACTGGCACCACCACCATGTCCCTGTGGGCCAGCACGATGCAGAGCATCCTCCTCCGGAGCAGGGATGCAGGATTCAGCTCAAACAGCTGCCAGGAGGGCATAAACAATTAACACCAGGCTCTGAAATGTCCCCAGATTGGCTGGAGCCCCCTGCCTGCCCTTCCCTCCCCTCCCTGCCACTTTCTCCTCCACAGCACCACCTTCTCTGGGGCTGAGCATCCTTTCCATCCCCAGCCCCGGGTGGGTGAGGGTCCCACAGTACCGGGTTGAGCCTGTAGAGCTGGGGTGAGCCCCATCGTTGCCCCCCACCCCCCTGGCCAGTGTGGGCACCCCTCCCAGCCCCTGAGCTTTGTAACTGCTGACACAAGGGGTGCAGGGTTAGGGCCACCCTGTGTCCCCCTGAGAGCTGCCCCGGGTGGGAGCTGCCCCTTCCCTTGACCCCCATCCCTGCGCTGTGGACCCTGCGCTGCAGCCTGCTCGGACTTTGCTCAGCCTCGGTGTCCACAACAAATCCTCCTGCGGAGCACTGGGAGGGAGCTGCCCCTTCCCCTGACCCCATCCCTGCGCTGTGGACCCAGAGGGCTGCAGCCTGCTCGGACTTTGCTCAGCCTCGATGTCCACAGCAAATCCTCCTGCAGAGCAAAGGGCAGGATCCTGCCCACAAACAAAGGTCATTGCAGCCCATCGAGTGCTCATGGCAGCCAGCAAGCACCAGCCTTACCAGGTCCTGTCCTTCCAAGCCCCCCCAGGAGGCATTTTCCAGCCGGTGAGTGGTTTCACCCTAAACGCCAGCCCCTCTGCCCATCGCCTCCAGGTCAGCCTGGCGGCTTCCAGGCCAGGCACAGGATATAAACCACCTTTCCTGCTCTGACACAGCCAGGAGGAATTCCCCCAGTCGGAAGCATGCAGGGCTGGTTTAAGGAAGCCTGGTTGAGTTACCCGGCTTGCAGCACCCCCCAGGGTGCCACTGCTGACTGGGAGCAGCCCAGGAGTATCTCATGACCCTGGCACGGGCAAGCCATGGTGCAGATAGAGCCCCTGTTGTAGCCCACGTGCTTCTTTTTTTTTATTTGGTGGATGGTGGTGGAGGGGCTGATGCTGGCTGGGCTCTGCCGAAGCTGAGGGTGATGGTGTGTGAACATCATCAGGGCCCTCCAAGCATCACCCCAGCCCAGTGAAGTCCATCATGGGGCGAGCGGCGCTGGCATCCCTCCCTCATCCTCCCTGAAAGTCATTTTATGGCCATGGAGGGGACCAGCTGAGTAGCGGCACTTGAGGCAGCGTGCTCAAGTGCCACTAAAATTAAGTGGGCTGCAATTAGGAAGCCAACTCCCAGGGAGGCTGCGGTAACAGGAGGTGGGTCCAGCCGGCGTGCGTGGAGGTGACCCCTTGGAAAATCCCCCACGCCGGGGAGCACCTCCTCCCCCCAACTCAGCCCCTGCACCATCTGTGCCCCCGGGGGCCGAGAGCTCAGACGAGGACCTGAGATGTCTCAGCTCAGCCCTAAATCACACGACAAAAGCTTGGCCACAGCAATTACAGACAGTTCCTGTGAGTCCCCCCCCAAAATGATAAGGGGCAAAGCTCATGCACAGGCTGCTCACAGCAGCCTCCACAGCCCATTCCTGCTTTTCTTCTGGCAATCACAGCCCTAACGAAGCGGAGCACCTCCTCCCCCCAACTCAGCCCCTGCACCATCTGTGCCCCCGGGGGCCGAGAGCTCAGACGAGGACCTGAGATGTCTCAGCTCAGCCCTAAATCACACGACAAAAGCTTGGCCACAGCAATTACAGACAGTTCCTGTGAGTCCCCCCCCAAAATGATAAGGGGCAAAGCTCATGCACAGGCTGCTCACAGCAGCCTCCACAGCCCATTCCTGCTTTTCTTCTGGCAATCACAGCCCTAACGAAGCACCTGCAGCCCCTTAATTCCCCCCTCAGGGCCTCTCCCACAT